ATCAAAGTTTTTTTTGGCGAAACTGATCTAACATCGGCCATTTAAAACTGCGTGCACAGCCAAAAGTTCTAAGATCACAGAGTCACGTGATAGTAACAAAATGAAAGTTACGGTGATGTCCAACACAAATTTACAATCAGCTTAAAGGTAATTCAATATTACTTTAGAGAAAACACATATTTGGAGGTGTGGAAAAAAATCTCTTTTTCCTCTGACTCTACTCCAGCTGACAACTGTCAAAATATCCATCAGAGGCTGGAATAGAGGCAGATATTTCAGACTATGTTGATGGTTGAGTTGTTTTGTGGTTTGGCCATAGAATTATTCAAATTAAAATATCAAAATGAATTGTTAAGACTACATTTCTAATAAGATGTTATTATAATGAAACTGGTTGTAAGTTGAGGTTTCTCTTCACTAGTTTTCATCTGGCACTGACTGTCACTGTCACTGATATTGTCCTGATTGTTATAGTTGCTTAGTGTGATTACTAATTAAGATTACCTATACATGTTCTTACCTGTTAGTAGTTTATCACTGATATCAGAATATAAGATAAGATATCTTATAGGAACATGTTATAATTAACCAATTTAATTATACCATGTTATATTCACTTTCCTTGACATAACCTATTATTTCTTGTATAATGGGTTAATTTAAAGGGACTGACTCTCTTTTTAATTGACTTATTCTAAGGAGAAATAAATTACCCAATATTGTTAAACTGATACAATAGCAAAATATTTTCACTGTTGAAAAAGTGCTCAATACATCAATTGTAAAGCGATCTGTTCGAATAAAAAGCAAATATAAATGGAATTGAATCAGTTGTATGTTTAATATATTGCCGCACTTAAAGTTAGTTTTATATCCATTGTGCATAATGTTTAAGAGTAGCTAAACAAACCGTTGCGAGGGTGGGCCTACCGTGCTTTTTTGATATGTGTGTATACTAGCATTACATATAAAATGGAATCAAAAATGTTAATTTAATGTATTTTTTCTATGTGAGACTGTTGCTTTAAGATAATAGGTCAGAATTTAAGCCAACCAAGTGAAACCCAATAATTAATAATCATTTATTGGAAATTAAGGTTGGTCTGACATGACTGTTCTGATCTTAATACTTGACATTAATCCTGTATTGACCTGGGTATGGTCGTCAACCAGTCTCAAACTATTTTATAAATCATTTCAAGTGCAGTATTGAGTGTTTGATTATCATATTTTAATGACTATTTATATAAAGTATATTGGTGTGTTTAGTTACAAGACCAGTATGTAAAATAAACTGGCTCATATAAATCAAATGTAATGTAATCAGTGCTTTGGACAATTGTAAAATGTGATCTGGTATTGGAACTTTATCTGTGAACATACCAAACAGCAGGAATTACACGATGGCTACATCAGGAGGTCCACCGAAAAAGAAGCTCTTGGCTAAACAAGCTAGCTTTATGTACCTAGAAAAGACAGCTTTGGTGGTTTGTACTATATTCTTTGATCTGATATTTTTTTAAGTGTGATTTATGCCTTTCTTGGAACAAACATAAGATTTTCATTGTCTTTTTGGACAATTTTGCCTTGCTATTGTTTTTAATGCCTTTGGGCACTATTTTTCAATTTCACTTTGAAATTTAATTGTCGTTTTCATAACTAAAACATTTAGATCATCAGTACAAAAAGAAAAAAGTTTCAAATGAATAAAGAATGTAGAAACATTCATAATGTATCCAGTTTGTAAGCTTGTTTGTACATGTTGTTTATCTTCTTTTTATTATCCACACTTAGCACAATTTGGAAAATTACCAAAATAACATAAATATGCTAGTTCTTGAATTCCTGTTTTTGCTCTGAAGATAAATTTGTAATATATTAATCATAATATCAATATTTTTGTTTAAATTTACCTTTCATTTTTGTTTTGGATAGTATTTGGAAATATTTGGAAATACTGCAATTTCTTGACAATTGCTAAATTGATAGCATTCTAAATTTTGGTTCAGAATGTAAATATGAAAAATCCAATTAAGCATGATATTAATTAAAAACTTATTATACATGATTAATAGTTGCTCCAGTTTCGTTTTGGACAATAATCCTTGTATTACTAGAACTTCTCCTAAGCGGTACTGAAATTTCTGGACAAGCCTTCTTTAATCTTTATCAAACCAAATTTCTGCTCTGAACATATATAAGAAATCTAATTAAGCATGATATTAATTAAAAACTGATAATACATGATTAATATATTAGAATAGTGGTATGATATTGAATTTATGTCAGAAATTATTGATACAGGAAGTTGTTATATTATAGGAGATTGATATCAAGTGTTATTCTATTGATTCCAGGCTTTCACAGATTACAAGTTAATTCTCTATTCCAGATCTTATCTTTATTCCTTTCTTATATAATTACCAAGTCTGCTTCAATTTTCTTTACTTTAGACTAGGATAACATTCATTAACTTTGCTTATGATTTTCAGACTATGGTAAGAACTTTTATCAATTTGAAAGTTTTTTGAGTTTCAGTTAAAAGATATAATATTTGTTGCGTATGTTGTGTATGATGGTGAGAGTTGCGCCAGGCAGGGTATGCTTACTCTTCTAGACACCTGATACCACTATTCATATCAAATACTTACTCACTTATGATTGAATCTGTTGTTTTGTATTTCGGAGGTTTTTTTTCCAGTTCAGATCTTGGTATATTTATATTAGTCTATCTAGTTAGAGATAAAATTTGCTTTTAAAAAGCTTCATTAAAGTGGAAGTGTGTGTGCCCTTTTCATTGGCTTCATTCATTTTGAAATTTCATGAGCCTTGTTCGCACGATTTCAGTCAGTTATCTGGTTATACTAAATATGTGGTGAGATATCTGCAGTGTCTGAGAAAACTTCCAAAATGAGGATGAATGATACTCTTAGAATGTTGTTTGATAATTTCTAAAATATATTGAAGTCTACAACTATTTTTTCATTTTTGCCTGATCTAAATCAGCATAAAAGTAGCATATCTTTACACAAATAAGATTAGATGACTATATGAACAGTGTCTAGTCTACAAGTAATGGTAAGCTTGGCTCTCAATGTGTTCTTGTAGGCCTACAGATACTGACCCCCAAATGGCTGAATCATTTTGTAACAAAAGAGTGGAATATTGTTTGTGACTATAATTGTATTTTCAAGAAGAAAACCTTCCCATTGACATTTTGTTATTGTTACAAAGGGGCTTATCACTGTCACTAGGCAATTGGTTGTAAACAAATATTGACCTAAGCCAATAATAAACATTCATTCATAGGTAACATAATAAACAGGATTCCTCTACCCAACACTTTTTCACTGGTGCATTTTAAAACACTGACCAAAACTGTTTTTCAGTCATTCAATTATGAGATACTACCATTTCAAAATCATTCTGAAAATTCTTTAGTCCAACTTTTCCTCAGGAAGGCAAGGCTACTGGTAATGGTAGATCATTCAGATGCTAGTGCTTCTGGATCTGCTACTTCAAATATGGTGGTCAACTTTTTCTTCCTCTAAAATTGAAGATCATAATAGCACTATGCCAAAGAGTCCTAAATAAAGATGATGCCAGTTTTCAGATCATAGAGAACATTTCTTACATGAAATGAAATATCATAATTGTTTTAAGGATTTCAACCTTTTAAAACCATATTCCAATGTTAAATAGATGCTTTTTATTTTTGGAAATTATGGATCAAAGATTGATATTTGAATGATTATTTTTTTGGTGCATTTTAGTTCTATTTTGATTCTTTGTTTGATTGTTTGCAAAGAGAAAACTACACAAGATAATTGACCATCAATCATTTTATTTATTTAAAGTCTAAATCTCTATAATAATATCTAGCTAGATAAATAAATATATAAATACCAAGTTTACTTAGTTTATATAGACAGTTGACTATCAATTTAAAAGATTCGTGTCTGGACAAGAGAGCACAATGAAAGGAACAATCTAGTATTATTGTTGTTGATCGTTCCATTATACATACGTATTATAATATTTCATATTCTGTATATCACTGGGTGCAGTGTGAACATTAAAAAGGTTATGACTAGAGGATTTAAGGATATGGTTCATTGATTCAACAAATTAGCACATAATAAGAAGGATTATTGACTATAATATTTCTTTATGTAATTGTTTATATTGATCATAATGAATAGATATGGCTCTTTAAGCCAAAAATTTGAATAGAACGTTTAGTTGGTTTCGACTCTTTGTGAAGAACCTGCACAGGGCTGTGTGATCAGACACTTTTCCTTTGAAATGAATAATTGGATTGTTTGATTCTGTGAAAATGTGATCAAGTGTACTGGAATTTAGTTGTTTTGGATTTGTAGCTTAGATAAAAAATCCAAAATGGCAAGTGCTGCTGCTCAGGCATTGAAATTGAATCGGGAGATGCAAATGGTATGATACTTTCATTGTCATGTAGATCCATTTCTTAAAAACAATTTCAAATTTTGTCAAAATCATGTAATTTTGAAATACATCTCTAGTAGGCTACAAGATAACAAAACCCTGGTTTGTGTTAGTTAATTCATGTTAAGCATATAACTTTATTGTTCTTTATAGTGCTTTATGCTGCTGTTTCATACGAGGTCACCCTTCTCAAAGGTCACTCTAAATGGTGGTAATTTAATTGCCACCTTTGGTTGTCACCAAATTTCAACATTGGCTAAATTTCAACATCTAAATTCAAAGAACTGTAATTAATTCTATTTAATCAGGTGCAAATTGAGGACTTGCAAGATTGCTGGGCCTGTTTCTTAATAAAGATACAATGTCTAATAAAATTAGCAGCAGACTTTCTTTGTTTTGTTGAGATCAAAACCTCATCAGACAACTATCTAATTCTATACAAATCAAGTCATCCCCATGTCTCTAACTTAAAACATGTTATTAACTTGGTTTTCTGTTGGAGCGCAATATTAAAGAAACAATATTATTGTACTTTCCAGCAAAAGTTAAAGGAGGAGAAAGAGAATAAAAGAGCCCATCTAGATGAAAGACATCACTATATTTTACAGACTGTGGCTGACAGTCTGGCCCTGGAGAAATCTGAGGTGGAAGATTATATCTTGGAAGGCAATCAGGTAAATAATCAATGAAGCTTTCACCAAATCATTTGCATTTATTCAAAAGACGTCTGTACTTTTTATAATTTTATAAATCATTCTGAGACCAATCCATTGTGGTTCTCTTGTCTTTTTGATTTATGGTTTTGACAGAAAGAAGAATCATATTGTACAACTTAGATTCTCAAGGACTCTGTCTTTTAGCTGGTCTTGGCTTTAGCTATTAGTTGGTTCTCAGGATCATCAATACCCATTTGCAGCTGGGTTGACTGGAGTATTGAAGAAAGATTATTTATTCATGATCACTAGACATCCACATGCAGACTTAGATCAGGCCATTTGTTCTATGTAATCAAAATGTCTCCCACAGACTAAGCCACTGTTCTTCTAGCTGGTGTAACTCCTATTTGTCTCCTTTTTGATCTTCATCGTTTTGAATTGATAAAAATTTTGTTGCATTTGAAAATGAACTGCTTGAATAGATACGTGTAGATGAATCCAGAACTTATTGCTTATTATCCAATGGAAAAGCCTGAAACAAAACATCTGGATCTGCATATGACTCAGATGATGTTTTTATATTTTAAATACTATAATTTGTTTTCTCAGATTGAGACAATGGATAAGTTTATGGGTGAAAATGGAATGAAGAGATTGATGTTCTATTACCAGGAACCGGAAGCAGAAAAAGAACATGGTAAATAAGTTTATATTTCATTTTGGTGTATGTGTAGTTCCAGATTTGCCTTAGATCTAGCAAAAACCATATAATTAACAGAGATTGGAATCAACATGAATCTGTGATTTTAACATTAGATACTTCTATCCCAACATGTCTGACTTTAATTTGTAAAAAAGCATGTTTCATGTGACAATAAAAAAGAAATGGAGTATGTTTTATTAGTCTGTAGATAATTTGTTTGGTGTCAGTTGCATGTTTATGTGTAAGCTATCTGATATTTATCTACAGGTGTAGAATTTAGATTGCCACCAACGTCTGCTAATGTTGATAATAAACGACCACCCAGTAATTGTATGATTATATTCTTGTTGTCCACCATTGCACTGATTTGATGTTTACTGCACGTGTTTGCACTTTTGCTACTTCTACCTTTCAGCTTTTCTTGTCTAAACGTCAAATTTTCTATGCTATATCTCAGAATACAATGTCACATTAGACAAACACTAATTTGGTGTGTCTTACTATTATGACAAATTTCCCTCATTGCACACTACATTGCATGTCTTCATTAACCCAATCATACGCAGAAAATTAAGATGTAAATCTCCATGTCATTTGATTCCTTTGATTACATGAACACCATAATTGCAATTTCAAATTCTCTCTACAACAAAATCGGCCATTTGCTGTAACTGTTTCAGACATAGGCCTATTAAAATCTATTCAATTTTGTGAAAGCAGAAAATCGATATATCCTAACATTTGAAATTGATTATCAGTTATATTTTCTAACAAATGAAAGGCGTGATATTAAATTTAAGATGATTAAAATCTCATTAATCTTGTGAAAACAGTAAGTCTTAGAAACCATTCACAGGGTGACAAGGTGTTTTCTGGTTTGTTTACATTGGTAACTAAGGAGGTTGTTAGGCGACCATGATAATTCGGCCCAATATACCTTCGCTATTTATGACTTTTCTATGCGATATAAAAGTTGTTGTTTGCACAAACCTCAATACTATAACAATAAATCATTCACTTGATTGATATTGTTAAAAAGGTTAAATGGCTGTGTTTGTTTGGCATTGACTTTATTAAAGATATCAGTTATGTTCAAAGCAAACCAAATATGACCCCAACATATTTGATATCATGATATGTCTTTGGATGTTTTTGATAAAAGATCTAATAGAATTTCTGTTCTATATGAGACTTCCACACTTACCTTACTTGACATGTCTATGCACGTGCACCTAATTCTTTTTCAAAATGGGAAATTTACAGATTTTCTGCTGTTATCTTTAATGAAAGAAAAGTAGTCCTATTTTTTATGCCATGGTTCATTTTGGTTAAATTATTGTTTTGATTTTAGTATATTGAGCTGTGGCATATTTAGGCAGTAATTTTTGGGCCGTGATCTCTGCTCGGGGAAAATAAAAAATTGATTCTCTCTTACTTTCACTTCCAAAATTGTGTTAGATCTATTCTCTGGCTTTCCACTAAAAAGATTTTCAAGGAGGAGTCCCCCCTGATCCCCATACAATGACTAGTGGGCAAAAACTTTTTGTAGGCATGCCTTAGGGACAATTTTTAGGCATATCCGAAATAAGTCTGATGAAAATGAATGGGTCTTGCCTATACAGATTTTTATTGTTATAATGTTTGCAGATTACCTCTAACAAAACTATGCTTCAATTTTAAAATATTTTGATATTATATGACCTTTTTTTAAACATAATTTGACAACACTCATGATTTTCTGTATTCTCTCTCTTACAGTAGATCATGTAAGACTTGGTCCACCAACTACTAAAGTTGTCAAATCTACCAAACCTAAAGTATTTATTGCTGAGGGTAGTGATATACCATTACGTGGTATTGGATTAATCTTTACAAAGTGTACTCAAACTGGTGTAGCTATAACAGATATCAATATTACTAAGGTAAGCTCATTTCTCAAATCTGTTGTATAATGGAAGTAAATGAGGAAAGCCTTACTTTAAAATGACAACAAAAGCGTCTTTTTCTTTTCAATTTTGTATCAACCTGGACCCTCTTTGCCTCATTTTGATTTGGATCTTGCTAGTAACTTCATGAAAATATTTTATAGTAATGCAAAATACTAAAAAAATTGACACTGGATATTTTAGGAAGTTAATTTTACCAGACTGGATGCTAATACTGAAGGTGCTAATGGACGTGGATTATTGAAGGCAGTAGAAGATATATTATCTCGTATTTTTATACCAGCATTAAAAAAAATAGATAATGGTTGGGGACAACTCAATGACAAGCGAGCAGGAAACCAAGTTCGAACTGATTTCCTTAATTCATTAGATTCCTTTGTTTCTGTTTTAGTTGGTAAGTAGATACCAATCAGCATTTGAAATGCTAACTGCAAAAATAAGCAGAAAAGTTGATTTCAGGGCCTAATCATGGCAATTAAAGATCCCTCGACAGTTGGAAATCATAAAAGAGCAGGCTGATGCCGCTGTCTTGGCAAAATTTCCCTCATTGCTCCCTGCCTGCCCGTCTTCATTAGCCCACATGGTGCAGAAAATTATTACGTAAAACTCCATTCATTTCATTTTTTAATCATGGCAAATTTAACCAGAAAGAAACTTTATATAAAAAATTAAAGATAAAAATATGAACATATAGTGAGCAGTTGCTTTCTTTGTGCAAGTAGGCCTATATTACTTTCTTATTAGATTATATTATTTTAAAGCAAAGAATTGTCAATATGACTCACAGAGACGAAAATATTGCCACTATCATATTGCCATCCATCACTTCACTATCTCAGGTTAATTTGATGTTCTTCAGGTGCTCAAGAAAGTCTACAACAGAAAGTAGAATTAAAACCATGCGAGGGCTATGATTTAAATAAAATACATACACCCAATGATTATATGACTGTAGCCAACAGTACAGAATCATTAGAAAGTATTGAAGCCTGTATGAGAGTTTGGATCAAACAAATTGAGCAGGTAAGTTATCTGTTGCTAGTGGAACTATAAATGGAATTATGGAAATGATAAAGATGAATTTGTATGAACTTGGAAACCGTTATTCAAGATGAGCATGGCCTTAAACACCTTTTGTTACCTTGTTACCTTTGCACATTGGTGTAACCTTGAACACATTTGTATGACCTTGAATATATTTGTATGACCCTGAACATATCTGTATGACCTTGAACCCTTTTGAATGAAACTTCAGGTGTTAGCTGAAAGTGAACAGATGAGACGTGAAGCTGATGATATTGGTCCACGAGCAGAACTGGATCATTGGAAGAAAAGGATGTCCAAGTTTAATTATTTAGTTGATCAAATAAAAGGCCATGATGTCAAAGCTGTTCTAGGTGTTTTAATGGCCGCTAAATCTAAAATGATCAAGGTATGTGATTTTCATTTGTATTTATTGTGGGACTTTGCTTTCAGCAAAGTCCCAGTTTGTAATCGAAATGTCAATTCTTTTTTTTTTTTTTTTTTTTTTCGATTTTTACACACCTTCCTGAGCTTAGACTACAATAGTTGCAGCAACCATTCAACATTCACGAACCTTAGATATAGGCGACGATGTGCATAAATATATTTTGGATCTTTTTTGCAAAACCGGAAGTGCCACAGTTCAATATATGCAAGAATAGATAATCGGCTCTAGAAGTCGTATTTTTTGGTCGATTTTCTTTGGGTTTGCATTTTTGGAATCTACTGTTAAAATCTGAAAGAATAGCAGTTTCAAAATTTCAAAATTCGAAAATGT